TCACTCATGTACTGTTTAACTATGTTAGTGGATTGCCAATTGCGCTGAGTCCCAGCTGTACTGAGCCAGTCTGTTAAGGAATTCATCCAAAAATTAAAATCACCTCCAAGTATAAGTGGACAGTCCAAGTGTTCGGAGAGTACAGAGAAAAAATTATGAAAGAATGGAGGGTCATCAATATTTGGACAGTATATGCTGACGATACATAAGCGTTGGTTCTGTATAGATATTTTTAACATTATAAATCTACCCTCTGGATCAGAAACTGTGTCCAATACTGTGAAATTTATGTTTTTGTGTATTAAAATAGCTACACCTCTTTGCCTAGAGTTATAGCAGGCAGAGAACATGCTGGGAAACTCAGGTGTTTTAAGTTCATCTGCAGATGTGGCAGATCTATGAGTCTCTTGTAACAATATTACGTCTGCTTGCACTCTCTTTAGCTGATCAAAAATTTGTAATCTCTTCTCTCTAGAGCCAGCCCCATGTACGTTCCATGAGACAAACCTTAGTGCACCCATAGATGTGTGTGTGAGTAGCTATAATATGACGCCTTCATGTGTATGAGATAAGATAAGTAATTAAACGCATACATTAATCTTATAGTAAATAATAATAATAAGGGTGTTGTTATAATCATTATTATCATTTGCAACATTAAATATAATAATAATAGTAGTAAATAAAAAACAATAATTAAAAAAAACAACTTTAATATAAAAATATTAATGCTGATGATGATAACGTAAAATATATAATAAAAAACAATAGTAGTAATAATAATAATAATAATAATAATAATAACAACAACAACAACAAGACAAGCCCATCAGTGTTTTGATTGTGCAATGAAACGCCTTAGGCTACTTATCTGTGTGACCGCGTATGGAATCTATGTGTGTGCGTCTGCGCATGGAGTCTCTGTGTGTGTGTGTGTGTGTGTGTGTGACTGCGTATGGAGTCTGTGTGTGTGTGTGTGTGTCTGTGTATGTGTGCGTGTGTGTGTATATGTGTGCGTGTGTGTGTGTGTGTGTGTGCGCGCAAGTTGTGTGCTGCAGTGTGCAAAGGGAAAAAAAATTGTGCCATGCAGATGTAAAAATCCAGAAGCAGATTAAAAAAAAGGGATAGAAAGGAATGATAAAGGTTTAAAAGAGAAAAAAAGAAGAAAGAAAAGAAAAAGTGTTGTGGGTGTGAGGTGGTGAGGGAATAGGTGAACATTTCTAAACGGATCTAGCAGCTATTAATCCTGACATGTTCAAGTGAGTGCTTTTAATAACAATAAAGTTGTACCTGAAGTTCGTCTAATAAAGCCAGTCTGTTACTCCTCGTTCTTTGTAGATCTTTCCGTCAACAAACAGTTTATCCACGGAGATCACAGCCTGCTTCCCATCTTGGATAAACTTCTTGCGCAGCGGGAAGAGAATTCGGCGGCGATCCAGAATTTCTTTAGGAAACTGATCGTTTACGCTGTAATCTTTACCTTTAAGCTCTCTCCCGCGGCTTTTAACAAGATCCTTCTGCTTAAAGTGCTCAAATTTAGCCACGATGGGACGAGGTCTTCTGCTGTCTGTTCTCCTGGCTCCAAGGCGATGTACCCGATGAAAGGTGATGTTCCTCACCGTTTCCTCCGGTACCTTCATGTGAGTGTGGAGAAAGTTCTTTATGGTTTGTTCACAATCCTCCGCTTCTCCTCCGGTCTGCTCTGGGAGGCCTGCGAACACCAGGTTATCTCTCATGCTGCGTGATTGGAGATCCAGAACCGTCTCCTTTAGAGCTTTATTGTCCTGGAAGATCCGATCTAATCCTGCAGTTAAGGAGGAAACCGATTCCCGCAGAGACGCGTTCTCAGCCGCGAGACGTTCCACCTGCTCCTGGCTAAACTCCAGAGATGTTCGGAGGTCCTGGAACTCCTTGTGAAGCACCTCAAGCAGGTGGAGTCGTCCCTCAAATCCCAGAAGCCGTTTATCTATGGACTGTAGTAGATCTAAGACATCCTTGTGGGGAGATGAGGCCTCGGGCGAGTCCCGGGGACGGCTCCTCTTGATCAACGGCGTTTCCGCCTCAGCTGCTGCTGCTTTCTTCGGTCCCATGACAAAAAACTCAAAAACCTCGTCAATATATGTTTGCAAATTTTCAAGATTTTCTCCACTTACCTCCAGGTTGAGTGAGTTATATTTACCAGATTTATTAATTTTTTTGCGTTGTCAGTGAGTAAATTAGGCCAAAATCTGTCTTAATTGTTTGTGGAAGTTGATTAACAAGCTGCCATCTGCTTCAAGACGCCGCTGTGTGTCCGGTGATCGGGCCGTCAGCACATGCGCATGCTCACCCTAACCCTCAGCTTTACACTTCCTGTCGACAACTCCTTAGTTTCCCCCTCCCCTCAGGTCAAGAGTCTGGGTGTCATCCTCGACTCCTCACTATCCTTCCAGTCCCACATAAACAATATTACCCGGTCTGCCTACTTCCATCTACGTAACATTAACCTCCTACGCCCCTCCCTCACTACTCACTCGGTCGCCATCCTTGTCCACAGCCTCATCACTTCCCGTATTGACTACTGCAACGCGCTTCTCTTCCTCACAAAACCCTCCGTAAACTCCAACTTCTCCAAAACTCGACAGCCCGCATCATTTCCAGAACTCCCTCCTTCCACCACATCACCCCTGTTCTTCAGCAGCTCCACTGGCTCCCAGTCACTTCCAGAATCCAATTCAAAATTCTGCTATATACATTCAAAGCCATCCATAACCTAGCTCCACCGTACCTCTCAGACCTCCTTCATCCTTCAACCTCCACCCGTTCCCTCAGGTCCTCCTCCTCCATCCACCTCTCTGTCCCACCTTTCCGTCTGGTCACTGTGGGGAGCAGGGCCTTCAACCGCTCTGCTCCCCAGCTCTGGAACTCACTCCCTCCTGACCTCCGTAACATTGATTCCCTCACTCTCTTTAAAACCAGACTCAAAACCCACCTGTTCCGTCTAGCATTCCAATAATTACTCTCTTTGCTCCAATCTGTCTGTTTGTTTTATGCTGTTTTATCTTTTATTGTTGTGTATTTTATCTCTGTAAAGTGTCCTTGAGTGTTCAGAAAGGAGCTGTTGAAATAAAATGTATTTTTATTATTACATTCAAACTCCTTGTAGTCTGGTTATCTGGTCATTTCACTTCTGTGAAAGCCACGGAGCTAAATGAAGAGGCATCTCTCTGTGGAACAAGTTCTGGATCAGCTCCTGCAGCCTGATACTCCTGGAGAAAATGAGGAGAGTGAAACATCTTCAGTGGACTTTGAGGTGGAGTCAGACCATTCTGTTTCCTTGACTTCTTTTCCTGACCTGTCCAGTGAAAGAGAAGGGAGGTCACCGGATCCTGCTCCAGGATGGATTTCTAAAAGTGGGCAAGTCTGGTTTCCTACTAACGCAGAAACTTCCCACTATGTTCCTGCTGCAAGATGTTTGAATCCTGGGCCAACACGTTACGCCATCACACACATTTACGATGTGGTATCCTCCTTTGATTTATTCTTTACTCCAGAAATGACTGAAATCATCGTCAACATGACAAATCTAAATGGAAGACGTGTGGTGAAGAACTGGTGGGATATTGATGACATCACAGTGAGAGCATACATTGGGCTCCTGATTTTGGCTGGTGTGTACCAGTCCAAAGGGGAATCCACCTGCAGCCTTTGGGATGACCACTGTGGACGTGCAATCTTCCTGGCCACCATGAGTCACACCAAATTCAAGATGATCAACTCCACCCTCCGGTTTGATGATGAGCTGAACAGGCCTTCCCGTCTCAGGCAGGACAAACTGGCCCCTATCCGCTCGATTTGGGACATGTGGACCCATCGCCTCCAAATGCTTTTCAACACTGGGTTAGATGTGTGTGCTGATGAGCAGCTAGTCCCTTTCAGAGGCAGGTGCAAGTTTAGCCAACATATGCCAAGTAAACCAGCAAAGTACGGATTGAAACTCTGGGTCACTGCTGATGTTGCCACTTCCTATGCCTGCAAGTGTCAGGTTAACACAGGGAAAGCTGCTGGTGAGGCTGCAGAGGTCGGCCAGGGAAAACGTGTCATTTTGGAGATGACCGAAGAGCTCCAAGGAGTCACTTCACATGCATGCATCTGCCCTTTCATAACAAACTGAACTACAAAGAGTTTGGATGTGCCTGAGCTCCAGCCAGGTGCCTAAACATTGTTTTTGTTTTCTACCCTTTGATGTTCAGTAGGAGAGTGAAACTGTGTTTTGTTTACATGCTGAGCTTCTGACTTCAATAAAAACAGCAGAAGATCTATAGAAATGTGTAAACTTTCTCGCCTGGGCAGCATATGAAGAAATGACTGAATTTGGTGGTGAACAGTAAAAATCATAAATTTGACTAATTTTGTCCAAAATGAAACCATTACATCACAGAAAGCATGAATATTTGCTGCAGATAATGCAGGATCAAAAACTGTGGTTTGCATTGAAGTCAATGGGACGTTTTTGTCCATAACAGGCACAAGAGGGTGGTAAATTTTAAATCTGCTGCTACACAAAAACTAAAAAAGCATAAAATGTGATATTGTGCTAGACTCTTGACATATCCCAGGCTAATTCCATGCTGTCGTTCTTTTTAAAACACAGAAACGGTTTCGTTACCTGTTTTTTTAGAAAATAACTCGGTGCTGTTTTTTTTTCTTTTTTTTTTCTTCATAAATTACATCAATGACTTTTGAGTATTCAAACTGGCATTTCAGGGGTTAAAAGCTTCAAAATCATTGATTTTTTTTATGTTTGAGCAGGGCTGAAGTTGTTCAACAGATCTATGAAAAAAAGTGAAGCCTGAGGGTTGAGGCTCATATGATTTATAGATGCTCAAAGTTCAGTTTCTAATTGTAAATACATTTCATTCTACGTTCAGTTTAAAGAAATAATACAACTGTTATATGTGTGAAAACACAGTTACAGCTGTCTCTAATTCACATGATATGTTTCTGTGTTTCCTACAGATTTTCAACAGATGGTTCTGGTTAAAGAAGAAGCTTCAGAAGAACAGAGTGCTCGTGTCAACCACCAGCACCTAGATTTTCTCCACAAGAAGGAGGAACAGGAGAAACTCTGGTCTAGTATGGAGGGAGAGCATCTCCATTTGAATAAGGAGACTGATGCTGCCAGGTTTCAATCCTTTAGCCAAAAAACACATTTAAACAAACACATGAGAGGCCAGACAAAGCAGAAACATTTTGCCTGTGAGCACTGTGGACAAAGGTTTCACCAAAAGAGTAATTTAACCACACACATGAGCGTCCACACAGGAGAGAAGCCCTTTCCTTGTGAGCTCTGTGGAACGAGATTAAGCCAAAAGACACATTTAAACATTCACATGAGAGTCCACACTGGACAGAATCCTTTTGCCTGTGAGCTCTGTGGAAATAGATTTAGTGAAAAGGGAAGTTTAAACATACACATGAGAGTCCACACTGGACAGAAGCCTTTTGCTTGTGAGCTCTGTGGACAAAGATTTAGCCAAAAGACTACTTTAAACAAACACATGAGAGTCCACACTGGAGAGAAGCCCTTTCCTTGTGAGCTCTGTGGAAAGAAATTTAGCTTAAAGTCAACTTTAAACATACACATGAGAGTCCACACTGGAGAGAAGCCTTTCGCCTGTGAGCTCTGTGGTAATAGATTTAGTGAAAAGGGAAGTTTAGACAAACACATCAGAGTCCACACAGGGCAGAAGCCCTTTCCTTGTGAGCTTTGTGGAAAAAGATTTAGCCTTAAGACAAATTTAAACAGACACATGAGAGTCCACACTGGACAGAAGCCTTTTGCTTGTGAGCTCTGTGTAAAAAGATTTAGCCGAAAGACTTATTTAAACATTCACATGAGAGTCCACACAGGAGAGAAGCCTGTTGCTTGTGAGCTCTGTGGACAAAGATTTAGCCGAAAGTCAACTTTAAACAAACACATGAGAGTCCACACTGGAGAGAAGCCTTTCGCCTGTGAGCTCTGTGGTAATAGATTTAGTGAAAAGGGAAGTTTAGACGCACACATGAGAGTCCACACAGGACAGAAGCCCTTTCCTTGTGAGCTCTGTGGAAAGAAATTTAGCTTAAAGTCAACTTTAAACATACACATGAGAGTCCACACTGGAGAGAAGCCTTTCGCCTGTGAGCTCTGTGGTAATAGATTTAGTGAAAAGGGAAGTTTAAACAAACACATGAGAGTTCACACAGGAGAGAAGCCCTTTCCTTGTGAGCTCTGTGGTAATAGATTTAGTGAAAAGGGAAGTTTAAACAAACACATAAGAGTCCACACAGGAGAGAAGCCCTTTCCTTGTGAGCTCTGTGTAAAAAGATTTAGCGGAAAGACACATTTAAACAGACACATGAGAGTCCACACAGGAGAGAAGCCCTTTCCTTGTGAGCTCTGTGTAAAAAGATTTAGCCGAAAGACACATTTAAACACACACATGAGAGTCCACACAGGAGAGAAGCCCTTTTCTTGTGAGCTCTGTGTAAAAAGATTTAGCCAAAAGACAAATTTAAACACACACATGAGAGTCCACACTGGCTTTTCGCCTGTGAGTTCGGTGGAAAAGTTTTACCCAAAAGATCAGTTTAAACGGTCACAAAAGAGTCCATAAAGGACATAAGCTTTTTGCTTTTGAGCTCTGTGGACGGAGATTTAGCTGAAAGAAAACTTTACAATCATCAATCATTGCCCTGACATTATGGTTTTAATTCTTCTTTTTGATCAGGATGCTTGATCTTATTTTGTCCCCCATTTGTTTTTAATTGATTAGTCTTATTCCGTTTTTTCTCTGTATTTGTAATATTGTTAGCTTGATATTTTATGATTTTATGTTTTTATTTTTGCTTTTATGCCCATGTACTAGGAATGTTTTTATGATGATGCTGTTCAGCACCTTGGGCTTCTGATAAAGTTGTGGAAGGTAAACAATATAAACAAAATTGAATTGAAAAAATTGAATTGAATCTAAGCATCCACTAGGGCTGAACGATCTATTGCAGGGGTCTCCAACCTTTTTTGGCCCGTGGGCTACTTTTACACAATGAAAGTACAGCAGAGTTACTGCCATATGATTCATTTACATTGATACTTTCCATGTGTGAATGTGCTTATGTTAAACATGCTATACTTACTATATTAACATGCATTGTACTCACAAGTTGATTTCTCTGTATTTCAGTACATCAGTATATATTAACCCTTTGACGAATAATGGTCACTACAGTGGGCAGGTACTCAAAATTGATATTTATTTATTTTTGCTATTGAGCACAGCTGTTGGAAAACTTTATTGCATGTGAGCCCCTCCATTTGGGCTTCAGCAAGTCAAGCCCGCATATTTCATGTTCAGAATGCACGCTGCCCACTGAGCTGGACATGTAATAAGTTATTTGTAAGTTAACAAAATGTTACAAAAAATATTTTTTGAAATTTGTTTCATTCACACCTAAAGATGAATGAAAAAAATTGTTTAAAAAATCATGGTTGAAGATTTCATAATTCATGCATCAAAGGTTTAAAAGTATAAGTAAACTAGTGACATTCTGAAAACCAAATTAAACAAAACATATTTAGTTTTTTAAACTAATCAGATACTTTCAGATAATGAATAACAAATCTACTTCATGTGAATGATTTGGTAATTTTTTTAGAAGGTTAGTAACATAACTTTTTAAGCGCACAGGAACAGCTAACCTGTAAAGCTGATGATATTTGAAATAAAATACAAGCTAAATGTGATGAAAACACAAAAGTCTAAATAGTTTGAATTGAAGTAAAAAAAATGTAAAATCAAAAATAAGACTTGTTCCTGCTCTCCTGATGTACTGAATAATTTTTATGGGGTTTTTTTTTGGTCATGAAAGTTAAGTTTTGCTGCGTTTTGTGCTGACAATATGAAGGTTGGAGGTTTATCCTTTTTTCTGCATCTTGTAGGTTTTTTTCTCCGCGCGTCTCTAAATAAAGTAAAATTTTCTAGTGCAGAGTGGAGACAACCCATAGAAGCACTGATTTGATCTCATTTCAGAGAAAAATAGAACAGGTTAGATGCACCTAATAAATACAATTATAACAAACTCAGGAATCTGTTTCTTTGCTTCACTGTTCTGGTGCTGAAAACATCACTAATGCGGATCAAATGAGATACACAGATGAATGCACCTCTTATTTATTGTTTGGAAACTACATTTACTGCAGCTGGCAGAGGCAGAGATTTTTTCTATTGATACACGGAATTTACAGAATCATTTTAAATGTTAACAGGGAAAGACTGCAGGAGGGAGCGGTAAAATACAGGGGGTCCCCAGCAAAAACAAACTTTACGAGTCTGATGAAACCCGCTGGTTTTCCATCAGGCAGTCACGGGGCAGCTCCAACGTTCCAGTCAGTTATCGAGCCCAGTCCGGTACCGGCTCGGCCGTGAACGAGCTGAGGCGACGTCGTGCTCTGCTTGAAGAGGTGTTATTTTCCCGCTTCAGAAGAAGCGTTCAACGTGTTTTACGCTTTCTCTGAGACATGTCACGTTGCTAAGTTGTTAGCGCTGCGCGCTAACACGTCAATAGTGCAGCGTAGCCTGCTGGAGGTTTTAAGGGTTCAGATGAAAACACCCGACCTCTCAGGCTGCTCACACATCGATCTTAAGTTGTCGCTGTTGCGCTCACGCCGTAATACAGTATTAGATGCGGTTAAAGTCAGACATGAAAAAATAAAAAATGTTTACATGAATAAGTGATGATTATCCTGGTGGGGAGTGGAAACCCTGTCAAGATCGTCAACAGTCATTTATCTTAATGCTATTGAAACATGTAAACCAAAAAGCATTATATCCACTGCTACCTTTATGCTGTAACTTCACCCTGCCCTGCCTGCTCCTCCTTGCTGCCTGCCGGCTGTGATCACAAGCGACAACATAGTAGTTCCCGCTGCTTCCTCGTGAAACAGCAAAAAAAAATAAAAAAAAATAAAACTTGGGATCTTGTAGCCGTGGCGGTGGGATTTCAGCCGTGGCGGGCCGCCACGGCTACGCCTATGTAAGGGAAACCCTGACAACTGTTTATGAAATAACGTTACCTCAATTAATGACATATTTTCCTAGTTTACATTATGTTGTTTGAAACCAAGGGTCTCATTATCTGAACTTTTTAACTTGTTGGATCATGAATCTGTTTAAAAACTTTGCTCTATATCAGGGTTTTTCCTGGCTCAGACTGAGGCAGAGGTGGTACCATCCTGACCGTGCGCCAGCACATGCGTACTCTGTGCATTCAACTGCCTCACTTTTTTAAAGGCCAAATATGTTTTCGTTTAGTGTTCTAATCTAAGCTTCTGGCGATTAATAGAAAATTCCATCTGACAACGTTTCAAGTGAAACAAAACTGGTTTGCTGCTAAAAAAATATGAAATAAAACAACAAAATGATCAGGCTGAAATAACAGACTCTTATTATGAAAGGCTCAATAATATGCATCAGATTGGTGTTTAGTTCCTTTTTCCCATCTGATATTTATAGTTAAAATATTTTTATATATTTGACCTACATTTCAGTAACATTTTAGGTTTGTATTAATAACACTCATCTTAGTCATTATAACACATAAATATATGCAGTAAAATATAATGCATTTCATTAACATGCACTTGTGTTGGAAATGGTAATAACATTTAATTTCTGCTGCTAACAATGTAATGGTGGCATGTCTATTAAGTACGGGTTAGCAATAATCCAGTTCAAATTATGTTCAAAGATAGACGCGTTTGTGAATTATATACTACAACGGCTTGCCGTAGCCTTGTAGCTGTAATGTGACCCGTATCTGCAGCGGTTCTGATCCGTAGTGCTGCAGGATGCAGAATAAACAGGATAGTGGGGACTTTTCATCCGCTTGTAGAGTTTAGTCTTTCATAGTTTTACGATCATCATCATCATATATTTTTCTGTGCGCCACTTGATCGCGAGACTTCTACCTGTTAGCCTTAGCATTAGCTAATCTGCGTGTTTTGATCCCAGTTTGGACCGGTTCTGCCTTTGTGCCTTTGCTGGTTCCTTTATTTTCCTCCACTGCATCCAGATGACCACACTGTGCGCCAGTAAAAAGCATTTTCTTACACGTAACTTACTTTTGTTCAACAAAGTTCTGCGGAAAATAGTAATTCAAAGATGTTTCACCCGTGCTACGTTTAAAAATAGACAGACACGCACAGACAGTTACAGCCCTGCTCCGATATGGAAGAGCTGGGGGAAAATCAGGACGTTAATAGCACCAACCATAGGTATGTACCAACTAGCGAGAAAATCACATTTTGATCTTTTTCTGCAGCGGTTTTAGCGCTTTTCGGTGCACCGCTGCTGGTACAGCGCCCTGTAGTGGCGCAACGCTGCAACTGCAGTTACAGTAACATCCATATAGCTGGGGGCAGAGTGAAATCAGGCTGAGGCGGCACAAAAATAGCTGGAGGCGGCCGCCACGCAAATTTGAATACAGGAAAACCCTGTATATGTGCCCCTTTTTTAACTTTGAGCACCCGCCCCTTCAAAGGTCTCTGCACGGCCCTGCTCTATCTGCTTCCTTTACAGCACCTGCTGAGCTCATTTAAAGGAGTCTCCTAGCATCTTCACACGGATGACATCCAACTGTACATCTCCTTTAAGCCCCATGAGATGTCTAAGCTGCAGCTGTTACTCTCCTGCTTAGACTCCATTAAAACCTGGATGGTGGGAGCTTTCTACAGCTGAATGAAGATAAGACTGAGATCTTCATCTGTGCCCCAGAGAAGCTGGTTCCCAAAGTCAGAGACTCTCTTGGTCAGCTTGCTTCTCACACCAAACCCTCTGTCAGGAATCTTGGCATGACTTTTGACGCAGCTCTCACCCTGGATTCTCATGCCAGTTCTCTTGTTGGCTCTTCCTTCTTCCATCTCAGGAACGTTGCTAAGCTGTGTAACGTGATGAAGGAGCCATTTCTACCCTAACAGCTGTTTCCTTTTGACACAGTGTCAGTGTGTCTGAAACAGCCTGAAGGTCATACAGTCGTTTCTAAACTGTTTACATTCCAGCATGAAGACAGAAGAAAGAAGAATGAATTCTTTCCTTTTGATTAATCAAAGAACTCTATTTTAATAAAGCTAATCCATCAAAGTGTTAGTCAATATAACAAGATGTGACCGACCTGTGAAATTAAAATATTAATTATTTTATTATGATCTTAGAAATGAAGTAATGTAACTTTAAATGGTTCAACAGGACTCATTTCACGTAGTGTTAAAAGGACTTGACACATTTTTTCACTGATCCAATCAGAATCTTACAGATCTGACGGAGGCGTGCTTCTGACGGTGTTTGGTAATTTTCATTCAACAATAAACCAAAACATCCGAGGTATAAAGCAGATGCCACGTCAGCTCTAATGCAGTTCAAAGCGTTCCAGAGCAAAGTGACGGAGTGGCCAATCCTGAACTTTAACTCTTCAACCGAAAGAACCACGACAAGCTGAGAAAATCCAGTCGCTATAACAACAAGCAACGACAACAGCTCCTTTCAGAATAAGAGCTCCACTGACCCAGGCTGGGTCTGAACAGACGCCAAGACAAGAGTCGTGTGCCGGCAGTATCTCGAGACGGGTCTGGTCGGAACCGCAGCTCTGCTACCAGCTCGGTGTCCAGAGAGGGTCCGGGTGGACCTCGGCATTCCTGATCTCACAGAGGACTTCCACCAGGCAGGTAGGCGGGCCTTAATGGTGTCTCATGCAGTTCTGAAACGAACCCCAGCTTATTCCAAACCAACATCTTCAGTTCCCGTCAGAACTAATCGCTTCTTCAGATTTGCGGGTTCTGATTTACATGACACGTCATCCATTCACCGCCTCATCCATTTTTAGTCGCACTATACACTTAGTTCTTAAATAAGCCTAGTTTAATTGTTAGTAATAAAATTTCTTAACTTTTAAACTTGACTCGTTCTATTCTGTTGTCTCTGAGTGAATACATAACGGTTACATGATCTCTGCATTAAAAAGACCCGATCTTCTGGTTTAACCAACCCCGATCCATGAGGCGGATTTCATATTTCCTATGGAATCCCACGCCTTACGGCTCATTAATTAAAATGTAAGAACCTCATTTTTCCCTTACAGCTGAGTCCCATTCTGTCCCGCTCTGAACTTGAGACTGTTCTCCACACCTTCATCTCCTCGCGCTTAGACTACTGTAACTCTCTTTTCACGTGTCTGAGCAGAACCTCCCTGAACCGTCTACAGGTGGTTCAGAACGCCTGTGCTCGGCTTCTGACCAAGTCCTCCAAACACACCCACATCACCCCGATTCATGAAAAAAACACTAAAACTGAGTTATTTTCTAGAAAAGACTTTTTTTTTTCTGGGGTGTTTAGTACAAATCAGTCTTGATTATGTTATGAAGTATCTAAACTTTAGAATTTTTTGCATTTATAGTTTTTACATAGCAACAGATTTAAAATTTACTATACACTCGAGCCATTAGAGGACAAAAACCTCCCATTGACTTTAATGCAAACCACAGGTTTTGATCCTGTATCATCTGCAACAAATAATCATGCTTTCTGTGATGTTATGGTTTCATTTTGGACAAAAGTAGAATTCAGTCATGTCTCCATATGTTGCCCAGGCGAGAAAGTTTACACATTTCTTTAGATCTTCTGCTGTTTTTATTGAAGTCAAAAGGCCAACCTGACCTCTGATAAGTAAATAAAACACAGTTTGACTCTCCTACTGAACTTCAAAGTGTAGAAAACAAAAACAATTAGTATGTTTATGCACCTGCCACATTCAAACTCCTTGTAGTCTGGTTATCTGGTCATTTCACTTCTGTGAAAGCCACGGAGCTAAATGAAGAGGCATCTCTCTGTGGAACAAGTTCTGGATCAGCTCCTGCAGCCTGATACTCCTGGAGAAAATGAGGAGAGTGAAACATCTTCAGTGGACTTTGAGGTGGAGTCAGACCATTCTGTTTCCTTGACTTCTTCTCCTGACCTGTCCAGTGAAAGAGAAGGGAGGACAACGGATCCTGCTCCAGGATGGATTTCTAAAAGTGGGCAAGTCTGGTTTCCTACTAACGCAGAAACTTCCCACTATGTTCCTGCTGCAAGATGTTTGAATCCTGGGCCAACACGTTACACCATCACACGTATTTACGATGTGGTATCCTCCTTTGATTTATTCTTTACTCCAGAAATGACTGAAATCATCGTCAACATGACAAATCTAAATGGAAGACGTGTGGTGAAGAACTGGTGGGATATTGATGACATCGCAGTGAGAGCATACATTGGGCTCCTGATTTTGGCTGGTGTGTACCAGTCCAAAGGGGAATCCACCTGCAGCCTTTGGGATGACCACTGT